GCACAAGGGAGAAATGAGAAAATCAAGTATTTAGTTTGAAACCATACTTTCCAAAATGCTGTCCGGAACCATACACTTCAGTCACTGTGCTTCCTCAGCCACTTTCCTTGTGAACTATTCAAAAGAACCTATCCTGAACTCTGAGGAAGACTGACCTAAACTGTATTTATTAAGTTATCTGTGTAAATAAGAAACACCTTCCAATGAGGTTCCTCACTTTATGATAAAGAATAAAGGCCTAGTGTCAAGTTATTTTATTTTGTTAAATATTATAGAATTAATAAGAGAGGCCCCTGGTACGTTTTACAAGATCTAAACATTGAACTAAGACACATGCAAGTTGTTTATTGGGTACAGTATTAGATATCTAGCACTAACATATCTTATTTAATCTTCACAACTCGTGAGCCAGGCATTATAATTTTCTGCAATTTTTAGATGTCAACTGAAGCACAAGGAGTATATAATTGGTCCAAGATCACACGACCAATTAGTTGTGAGGCCAGGACTCAAAACCCAGCTAGTACAATTCGAAAGGCTGTGCTCTTTATAATCTAGATGATAACAGCAGCCTGTAAAGGGTGACACACAATTGAGTCTGAGTAGACTTTGTAAACTCCACATGAAAGAGCATGGTGAGCTAAACTCTGGAAATGTGGAAGAGAAGAACCTGAAATCAAAGTCAAGCATGGAGGAAATTTTACAATCTGTCTAAGATATTAAGGGACCAATGGCTCTAAAGAAATCCAAAAATCCTTCAGTAACACAAATCCCTAAAAATACCAATAACACAAGCTCACATGCTGCTAGCTAAGCCACACATTTCTTTCTTATCTATTAAAATTGAGAGCAAAGTCTCGTGGATGATTTTCTAAATGAAAAGAGCTTCAACCTTAGGACCTAAATTAGTTCAAAAATAAGATTTCCTTTACAAAATTTCATTTACAAAAATTAATTTCCATCCAATATTTCATAGATTGCATCTATCCTGAATAGAAGGGTTGCCCTTAGTTACTTTAGACCCAAACTCACCATCAGGGTAGGCACTAGCCACACGCAGCTATTGAAGACTTGAACTGTGGCTAGTCCAAATTGAGAGATGCTATAAGTATAAAATACACATTGGATGTTGAAGAAAACAAAACCATGCAAAGTATCTCATTAGTAATTTTTTCTATTAATTACATGTTGAAATTATAATATTTTGGATGCATTGGGTTAAATTAATATATTATTAATATTAATTTTACCCACTTCTTTTTATTCTTTTTAAAATGTGGCTACTGGGAAAATTTTTAAATTACATATGTGGCTTACATTATATTTCTAGTGGAACACTTTTGATCCCTTAAGTGCGCTTAGTGAATGTACTAACATGTATTCACACTATATTACATGGTCTGAATCACATGTTAGTTTTAAAACTTTTCTTCTGAATTCATATCTGATATAACTTTCAGTTTCTGGTTAAATGCACCATATTCATTCAAATGCATTTTCGTTTTTAGATTCTGCATTGAACACTTAAAAGAGAGCTAGCCTATTTTGGTGCTGCACTTAACAAGACAGTTGCAAAGCATTGGAGCCACCAACTGTTCAAAAGTGGCAATACCCAGCTAATTCAATCGTTCACAGAACAAGACATAAACATCTGTGAGAAACACAATTCTGTGAAGGAAAAAAATGCTGAAAATAATATATAGGCGGTATGTATGGTTTCTACTTTAAATTAATGTACTTTGTCTATCCAGGGAAAATATTTATATTGGCTCACATTTCAGTAAATTCTATTTGGAAAATAGAAGGGACTATTTCATGAAAAAGAATACTGATAAGTATATAGAAAACTGTATATGGACTAAAAGATTCCAAGTAAATATTAACGAGTCTCTATAGTTACGCTGTTTGAAAATTTTAATTGGTAGAAATTAGAGGATAACAACAATAAATCCTTCATGTAACAGAACACAAAGCAGATTATACACATTTTTAAAAAACAGATGCTTATAAATTTTTCGTGATTTTTTAAAATGTATCCATAACTATGGAATATGGCTCTGCAGGGCCTTTTCTTGTGCAGTGATGTTGCTAATGACAGTCATGGCTGTTATCGATTCCGCTAATGCTGGGGGTGCCTCACGCAGGACCAGATGGCCTCATTATATGGCAGCTGAGGCCTGATGGACTGTCTTGGCTCCCACCAGAGTCCCAGAGTCCCTGGCTGGTTTGGTGGAAAATTTTTCAGGCTTACTTGGCGTGACAAATAAGGAGGTCCATGTCTTCTGCCTGGGACTGGAAACAGAGGCAAAACCACCAACTTAGCAAACTTAAACCTTCAAATGCCCCACCTCAGGTAATAGAGCCAATGATAGAATTCATTCCATCCAGTCTGTCTTTCTTGGGTGTTTGACAAGTCCAGCAGTGACGTCCCCATAGGTCTAGGGAATCCTCTACAGAGAAAGGCAGGCAATGGGTCCTATCTAAGGTTGAGGCCAAAGAGAGCCCTGAAACTCTCCACCATCATCTACATATGAACTGCTGCCAAACACTAATCTTATTTTATGCTAACTTTAGAGATCTGGTGACATCTGAAAGAAATCTTGCAGTTGTTGTGGTCAGAGGACTTCAGAATGAACCATGCCATATTTGTGCTGGTGACAGCGTTAGAAGAGAATCACAAGAAGATGGAACCGGGCTTCACAGGGGAGAGAGACGGGAAATCTGTGTTTGGAGACATATACACTCTTTATTTCGAGGCATACACATCCTTAGGCAAACTGAATAATGTTAATGTTTAACAAGATTTTCCTGCAACTTTAAGAATACTGTACAATCTCCTGTTTTCCTTTGTGGGCTCAATCAACCTTCTTAGAAATTTAACGTTTGAGGTTTTCTAGGTCTGACCTGAATTCTACGACAAATAAATCTTCTCTCAGAAAGTTTCCTAGAACTATCAGTTTGTTGATATAGTCTATATTCAAATGTATTTCGTATGTTTAAAACTTGACACCATCTCAAAATTTTATTCTGATTCATTATGTTTTAAATATATCTATTTGAAACCTCTCATTTTAAAATGTTTTGTTTACGGTGTAATTTTACATTAGAATTATTCTTATAAAAATAACTCTAGATGTTTATGGGTAATGAATACATGTGAAAGCTTTGTAACATGTAACATGTTATCATCCATACAATTTCACACGGGAAAACAAAGTATGAAAGTATATGTTCCAGGTAGAATAAAGAACTGGGATGTTTAGTGTTATACAGAAGAGGTAGAGACATGATTTCTACCTTAATGGAAATTACAGACTAGTTGGGGAGGCAAGGCTGACGCAAAGACACAGAAATGAAAATTAAGAACAAACATGGGCGTTAGACTTTGCAGTGAGTGCCAAGGGGTTCAAGGAAGTCTTGATGCAACAGGGAAGTTTTCACTGAAGAGAAGCAACCACTGAGGGCTCTGAAGACTGAATATAACTTGGACAAATAGAAAAGAAAGAGAAAGATGTTCCAGGGAATGGGAGCAAAATGAAAGAAGATGGAAAAATAGTAATTTGATTTGCCTGTGGGATACTGAGGACAGGAGTCTGGCTAGATTGGAACAGGATGTTGAGAAATAGCAAAAAAAAAAAAAAAAGTAAACAATAACAATAATAATAGTGAGTAAACAGCCTTAAATGGGGTCAGGATCTGAACTCAAGCAATCTAGCCTCAGAGACTCTGCACTTTCCACCACATTAAATATAACAAGTAGGTCTAAATAGAAAATCAGCACCCCAAAGAGGAAGAGAAAGCAAAAGTGTTAACGTTTTCTGCCAGGATTAAAAAAAAAAAGAGAGAGAGAAATATTGCTTGCTCATTCGTTTATATACCGAATATTCTTGAATATCCATCGCATACAAACTTCTGTGCTAGACCAGAAAAATACAAGTGGAGAAGATAAACTTTCTGTCCTCAAGGAATTCACAGCCCAGTCGGGGAGAAAGGCAAGTAGACAGGCACCATTTCATTTTCTGAAAAGACTACCACACCCTTAAGAGGCCAATCCTTTCTTTACTTGTCTATCTTCCTTTCTTCTTCCCTCCCTCCCTCCCTCCCTCCCTTCCTTCCTTTCTTCCTTCTTGCTTTTCTTTCCTTCTCTTTTCTCAGTACTTGTTTCAACTGGTATATTAAGCTTCAGGAAAGACAATGTATTAACAAAACGTTTAATATAACAAATGCAAAAGCAAGTTTTCAGGCAGTTATTTTTTGTAATGACCTGGTGTAAATTTGAGAACATGACACTTAAGCCGAAATTAGAAAAGATTCTGAAGAGATATTATTATCATTATTATTATTATTAAAGGATAAATGTGATCAGAAGACATTATTTATGTACCACCCAAGTCCTTCATATATGCTGATGCTGTTAGACAACTAATTTTCTTAAATATTATGCTCTAGTATATAAATAACATGAATAACACACTAATTTAATCATTAAGAAAAAATTAAAGATATTTACTCTACTGAGTCAGTAGTAAAGATATGTACTATTGTAGATGTAACTGTTGATTGAACACTAATATTTATAAACTCAAAAGCATGGCCCATGTTCAAGAATAATATTTGTTCTGAAAGTCTGACAGTTTAATATTTAGCTAAGTACAATTAGCAACCATTCCAAAATGATGTTTACCATTTTAGTATCTTGGACGCATATTTGCCTTATATCTCAAACAAATTGGACATCCTCTTATATTTACATGAATATAAAAAAATTCCTGCTGATAGAAACTAAAAGAAAAAAATTATACTATCTTTCAAAGTATCTGGTTTAAAACAATTGTCATCTTATGACCAGTTATTAGATTAAATGTTATTTAAATGGTTTAAGTCAAATTCAGTCAAGTACTTGTGTGCATGTATTTAAGCATCATCACAACAAATTCTAACATTTGCATAAGTTAAATTTAAATTCATGTAAGTTATTGTTATTTTCCCCTTCAGCTTACCATTGGACGAAACAATTAAACGTCAGTGCAATCAGCTCCTGTTTTTTGTCCATGGTGTTTCCACTGATATCATCAAAAAAGAATTACCCATTTGGTGGTATCAGTATCTTCAAGACATGACTTTGCCAAAGAAAATTTCAGCTGGAAGAAATGTCCTGCTACTCCAAGCACAGATGAGCCCCCAGGGAGTTGGAACTCGTCTGGTTTTGTGGGTGAATGAAGAAGGAAGTGCCACATGTCAGTGGAACACTAGATCACAAGTTGGCATGTCAACAGCTAAATGGGGCCTTGAATTACTACCTTTCAAGAGGTTTTGTCGTAACAAGAAATATAATATATGTGCCAATTTCCAAAAGACAAGTCTTCACATATTTAAATAAACCTTTTGCAGAAGTTTTACTGTTAGGTGGAGAAAAACAAGCCAAATTCCAGGTCAGTTTGATGGGGAAGAGTTGATTCATGGATTTTGGGTCATTTGACAGATATTTTCAGTCACGTGAATAAGGTAAATCCTTGGATTGGAGGCCTTGAAGTGCAATTGTAGATACTGATGAAAAGTCGCTTAGCTTATCTTTAGACACAAGTTGCCACTCTGGAAAAGGGATACTGAAAGCAGACACCTTCATGGATGGTCCAGCACTGGAGAAAATTCTTCAGACTATGAATGATAATAAGAGGGGTCAGGAAATTTCACTCCAAACGGGAATCTGCAAGCACCTATAAGCCCTGCAAACCACGTTTGAAGATGTCTTCTGCACAATCATAAGGATTCCTAACTTGCCGAAGAGGATCAGATCAAAAACCACTCCACTGTGTTGAGTTTGAATTCAAGCCAAGCACCAGCAGCCTTCTTCTTGAATTTACTTTATACCCTATTTATTTGATAATTTTTTAAATTCACTTTCAATTTGTGAAAAAGTGAGAGGAAGGTATAATTCTTTGGTCAAAGAATAACATTATAACATTGGTCAAAACTCTTTTTGTGGCAAGTGACAACTCAAACTAGCTTAAGTAAAAATGTAAATTTAGTTGGCCTGTATAAGTAAGATTTTTTTCACGGTAAATCTTCATGGATCTGGGATTAAAATGATACAGGCTTGCACTATCTTTCTTTTTTTCCACATTGTGGGGAAAAAATGGCCACCCACAACTTAGTAACCCCAACTGAAAGATGAAGCTCTTCCCTTATAGCTATGAAAGTAGAGTCTCATGGACTTTGGGGTCAAATGCTACCTTTTACCCAACATTCTCACTGAGACTGACTCAGGTGTCCACTTTTATGTCTAAAGATAGGTGGAGTAACTCATTCCCCACAGGAAAATGGACTTCTCTCACCAGTAACAGAGTAGGATACATGGAGAACTATTCACGGTCCACCTAGGAAAAACACACTTATTACCCCACAGAGGCAAACTGGGTGTGTTGAACAAGCATGATGTAAGGGTTGTGATCACAGTGACAATTAAGTTATGTCTCTTACCTTGGTTTCAAAATTTATTCAGTTCGGGTAATCTTTCCTTATGGCGAAAGAATACTTGAGCAGACTCATGGTTTTTGTGGTCACTCACTCACAGAAAATAAAAGTTCTTCAGTTACTGGTAGTGGTAAGCACAGTTTCAATTTAAAAAGTAGAATGCCCAGTACAAATTATGAAACAAAATTTTAAATTTTATTCAGTATCAAACATTCTTTTTATCCTAAACTGGGACCTGCTTTCTCTGGAGACATGTCATGGGAAGTGGCAGTGGAGGGTAGTGGGGGGACAGAGGAGAGTGTCCTTCTGCTCTTGGCGCCCACCCCTTCTCTCTTCAGAGATTCCTTAATGCAGGATCTCTCTCTCCCACAGCGACCTTGACCCAGGCGGTCAGATGAATTTCACCTCCAGATGGTCTTCTACCATTCTCTCCACACTCTTATTCCTGTATGTGTTCATCTTCCTCCTTTTCCTGCTGAGGTTTTCTGGCCCTTACACAACAAGATCCATGATATCCTACACATGTCTGACATCTGGCTCATCTGTGCAAAACCACAACATAACTTGGTCTCTCCTGACCAGTACACATGCCAACAACTCTTCAGTAAAGTCTCTTACCCAAACTCCACTTTACCTTGACCCCTTTTGATACTCCTTAAGGAACAGGTCTTTAGAGCCATTTCCTTTCTAATTCTGCATACGTATGCTTCTTGCGGGCAGACAATTTTAACTGCTTTGTTCACTGCTCTATCTCCAGCACTTAGAATAACAAGTGGCTCATTATAAGCACTCCACGTTGAATAAATCAATATGAAGTTGAGATCCGTCCTCTGACACTGATTACTGGTAACTTTGTCAAAACGGAGACAGGAAAGTCCCGCTTATAACATCATTTTAGACGTACACAAATAATTCCCACATTTCCTCCATGTAATAGAGTAAATACAATTATCCCACCTACAACTGAAACTGCACTTACACTTCCCCAGAGGCAGAGAACGCAAAATCAAATCTAGCTACTAAGTAAAATGGTATGTCCAGGATCTCTTGAGAAGCACGTGTTTCCTGTCCAATGTGATGTATCATATCTGGCAACATTTGACTAAATTGTAAGTTTAATCACCCTATGCTCTGGTTTATCTACTGTTGAGTCACAAACCACTCCAAAACGTAGTGGCTCAAAACAATAATGTTTATTTTGCTCTGCAGTTTAGCAAGGGCTTGGTGGGGACATGCCATCTTTGCCCCTCTTGGAGTTAGCTGAAATGGCTTACAGGCTGATGGCTGGAATCATCTGAGGACTCAGGTACTCATATTTGGTTGACACTGACTTTCAGCTGAGATGGTGGCTGGGATACTGACACGTGGATTCTTCCCATGGGTAATTAGCTTCCTCAAAGTATACTGGTTTGGTTTCAAGGGCAAGTGTCTCAGTAAGACCAGGCAGAAGCTGTACCCCTACCAGGAGGCAGCCTCAAAACTCAGTGTCAGTTTTCCCATGGTCACAGGCTCTCCCAGATTCAAAGCGAGAAAACACAGACCCTCTCCGCATCTCAATAGACATGTCAAAATTGCACCGTACTAAGAGCATGGAGGCTGGGATACACATTATTGTGCTCACCTTTAAAGAACGTGCTCTTCTCCATCTCAAACTACCAAATATAATGATGAAGACAGGCAGCATCACCACCTTCGGAAAATGAGCAAAAGTGAGACAGCAAAGTGAGGCTTTATACCATCTCCCGTGGCCAGGAAGGGCAAGGCCCACAGTCCTGATCATTGTTCCTCAGGCTGCCAATCTTATGCTCCTCTACAGCCGTGCCTGGAGGGGCTTAGGGAATGTCTCTATCTTTGACAGCTCTCTTTTTGTTAGTGATGGTTCTGAAGCTCTGGGAAAACACAATTAAGGGAATTAATCATAACAGTATTTTCAGGATCCAGGCTTGTCTTGAATTACCTAAAATCTGAGGTGCTGGTCAAGTATATTTCTCTTAGTCCCACCAGTTAGAATGCTGTTCTAGGGTCTGATCACCTCAGATACACTCACTACATTTTTGCTCCTCTCAAACCCAATGGGCTACTGTGTGACCTGCCTTTTGTTAGAAAGAAGAAAGTAGGGTATTCCTCCCTCTGCCTTGGTTGGCATCTCTGGCTGATCTCCTTAATAGTCCCATCCCCTGAGTTTCAGGAACACTTCATCCTCCTTCTGTCCTGTAAGGAGATGGTACTCCCTGCTGTTGCTCACCCCTGGGTTGACACATCATCCACTTAACTTCTCTAAACCATTCTATCATCTAACCAATTCCACTATTACATGTTCTTTGTTTCAAATATTAAAAGTACTTTAGTATCATTTAAGCCACTGTTATTCTGTTTCAGCAGCTGAATCTACAAATTTTTACAAGTCGAATTAAATCTATGGAGTGTTCTCTATCTAAATGGTGACCTCTCCCATTTTAAAGTTTATTATTCCTTTCAGAGAAGTATTTACTGAACATTTATTAAAGGCTATATATTTGATACATCATTCAATTCTCACAATTCAGTAAAGTTGGAGGATCACCCTACTTTTATAGCGGAAAAACCTGAGACTCAAGATAAGTTAAGTAGCTTATCCAGTGTCTGACTCTTTATTATTCTTTTTTTTTTTTCTTTTGCGGTACGCGGGCCTCTCACTGCTGTGCCTTCTCCCGTTGCGGAGCACAGGCTCCGGACGCGCAGGCTCAGCGGCCATGGCTCACGGGCCCAGCCGCTCCGCGGCATGTGGGATCTTCCCGGACCAGGGCACGAACCCGTGTCCCCTGCATCGGCAGGCGGACTCTCAACCACTGCGCCACCAGGGAAGCCCTGACTCTTTATTATTCTTAATGCTACACTACACCACTACATATTTTATTTTCTATCATTGGTCTTTACCCTGATTTGAGATTAGCCATTTGATGCTCAGTAATACATTTTAGTGTTTTAGTGAGCACCTCCAAATCAGACATTTGTGTTCTTAGTAAGTACCTTTTCATCTATACTTTGATAAATCAAAGTTTTGGCTGAGAATTAGCTACTATAAGAATCCAATTAATAATCAGATGTGGAGAGGAGGATAAGGCATTTCAGGATAGGTGGACATGACAAAATCACCAGTGATTACTTTCATTTTTTACTTCTTGCCTACTAATCTCCCAGATCCTAAAAAATACATTTTCTGTAGGAAAAAAATCATAAATTAGTATTAAAATAATCCTGTTACTTCGCATACATAGTAGGCTTGACAAGAGTTACAAAGAAATCATATTGAGTTAATACAATGTCATTATTATAACCTATTGTCAGCTACTATACCGTCACAAAAGTGCCTCCCCATAAAGTGATGGTTTAGTTGAAGCTACATTTGCAATGAAAATGATGAAGAGTATCTAAACTTATTTGGTGTCACCTTGAAACATGTTTGCAAGCCCAGGAATACACTTCTTTCATGTATATTTTATTACATGTAGACTAACTTAGTGACAATTTGAGTTTTTCTGAGTTTCTTTTGGAAAAAAATGTTTTAAAAACGACTCAGGTGTAGACAGAAGTCAAAGACGTCTGTAAAGCTGAGCGTGAAAGTGACAAAAGCCTCAAAGGCGGGCAGTTTTCTAAGATGTCCCCCTATATTCCCTGTCCTTGGTATACACACCCTGAGCAATCTCCAGGACTGTGAATTGAATGTGTTTTACTCCTGAGATTAGGTTATGTTATATGAGGTCACTAACCTTGAGATGGGGAGATTATCTTGGAGGGTCTGACCTAATCATATGAGCCCTTTAAAGCAGAGAAGTTTCTCTGGCTGCTCACAGAAGAGGAAGTTAGAGAAAGTCAAAGGGTCATTCTCCATTGTTGAGATGGAGGGGAACTCGTGGTAAGGAACCGGGACCAGCCTCTAAAAGTTCAGAGCCACAGCCAGCAAGGAAACAGAAACTTCAGTTTTATGAGACCAAAGAGATGTATTCTGCCAATAACAAGAATGAGCTAGGAAAAGCCTAGCTCCACATGAGAACATGGCTGGCTGACACCCTGATTTTAGCCTGAGCAGAACCCAGCCGTGCTGTGCAAGGCTTCTGACCTATACAACTGGAAGCTAATAAATGGGTGTTGTTATAAACTGCTAAGTTTGTGGGAATCTGTTATACAGCAATAGAAAAGAAGGTGGCCTGAGAGCTAGCTTTCAGCACACTCGGAAAACATGGGGTTGATGGAACATGGAGGGACGAATTTGCACAGCCTTGCTCTACGTGGCCATGCTAGGGCTCCCCACTGTACTCGGAACAACTGGAGTGGGTTTATGGAGTACTGAAGTTTCATTACTCAGCTGTAGTCCATCAAAAGCATGTATGGTGTCCCAGCTTACCAAGCACATTTGATCTGGGCAAAACTCCAAGAAAACTCCAAGTGGGTTGAAGCTTGACTCCATCCAGCATTTTGGTCCATAACCACATTTGTAAGCTGATGGTAATCCAACACATTGGGTGACAGAAAACCCCTGTTATAAATACGCTGTCTCCAAATCCAAATGCACTGCCCTTTAGAAACATGTGTCATAGTCAATGAAAATGGTGTACTGAATTTGTAGAGTAATCTTTCTTATTGCTTTATTATCCAGTGAACATAATTTGGATTTTTGAGAGTTCTTGCCTGCAAACTGGCAATTTACAGATATGCACAAATACAATCACCAAAACCTAAACTATTGTTCAGGGTTGTGCTGACAATTATTTTCTTACCTCAAAGATAATTGTAAAGTATATTATTCAATTGTTCTGGGCAAATGAAATATTCCTGAAAAGCTGGACATAAACAAGTTCCTTTTAGTAACATAATTGCTACTGACCATATTTAATTTTAGAGATACAATTCATTGGCAGCCCTTATCTCTTTAACTATGGTGAATGTGAAGCCAGAGCAGCTCAGTTAGGGAGTGAAGTTACCCTTATTAATAACACCAGCTGTTCTATGTCACACTTCTCTATAAGATGTGTTCTAAATTTTATTGGTTTGCTCAACAGTTTTAGTATCTTCAAGTGATGGAATTATTATTATTACCTATTATTATGCTGGCTGATTAGGGCATGGATACATTTTTACCACAATGACATTTTAAGTCTAGCAGATTTTTGTATTTTACTTATGCCCTGAATACTAGAAGAATTTTATATACATTAACCAAAGCATGATATGTGGGCCATGTGAGAGGACTTTAGACAGCACACCTAAAAATAATTTTACTTAAGTAGTTAGAAAATAATATTATGTGCTGAGAATAATATTTATGGCAAGTAAAACCCTGATGCTGATTTTTTAAATTAAATATATTTAAGTAAAAATGAATGAATATGATAAAATAAGGTAAATATTATTTTTGTGTTATATGGCTATGGCAAAAATTTTGAAAGTGGCTTAAAATGATTAAAATTTGGGAAATACTACATCATTTCTAAACTTTTCACCTCTATTTGAGTCCCAGTTTTGAAATTAGTTATACCCCTTTACTTTCTCACAATATATTTTCAAAAGCATCAAGATAGTGTTAGCAATTACGTTCATTTATTTTGGAAAATGAAGGCATTTATTTTTAATTATTTGAATATTTTTACTAAATGACTCACAAAATACTTTCTCTTACATAAAGTTTCTAGATTCAAACTTCTGTGAGTCTTGTGATGCATGTTTAAAATCCAATCAGAAAAACAATTTATTCATGAAGTAAATAATGAAAGTATTTACTTATTTATTTATTTATGAAGCTCTGCTTTATATGAGAGTTTGAGTTTTGAGATAAGTACATTTGAATTTAGTCAATGAAAGAACTGATCATCAATAGTAAATCACTTTTACAGTGACTGTTTCTGTTTTAAAGTTTTCATATATATGTAAATATTTACATACTTTAGAAACATATTTTAGTATATTATATTAAATGATCTTCATACATGTATATGTATACATATATATATTTACTTGTTATAAATTACATAACTGAAACCTGATCAGTATTTGTGATTTGATAACAGAAATCACAGATAATGTTTTGTTAATCATCACCTTGTGTTCAGGATAAAACAGAACCAAGTCACTTAGTGCTTTTGAGAATGAACAAAAATACTACTTTGTTATGAAATATTCTGCGCACCTCCAAAATAAATTAGAATTCTCCCATCCCACCCCTAGGGCCTCTAAATTATCTGAATCCTCCCCAGATCATCAGCAATGAAAATGGATAATGTTTTATATTGTGGTCTGCCTCATTTAGTGTTAGTTACTACAGCTATTGCCTCTGTCTCTATCTTGCTGTGTGATTAACACTAAAAGCAACCTTAAGTTGGAGAAACAGATTCTTCTTATTCTTCTTATTTAGGTGCACCTTGGAATGCATTATAATTACATACTCAAGGGAACTTACGCTGAACACAATTTTACATTTACATCATGGGCTCTGCCTGCAAGCAGTGACAGTAAAGAGTAATGAGATGAAGCAAAGGTTGCTGCAAACTCTTCTTTGCAAAAATGGGAGGGGCAGACTCAAGGGAAAGAAATACTGCAAAAGTTCCATGTCAGATGGAAGGAAAATAATACACTTAATTTGAAAGGAATATAAGAAAGATTGTGTTAGTTAGGGAGCAGTCTCAGCTGATACAACAAAGAGACCTACATCAGCTCACAAAAGCAACAAAATATTTTTAAATTTTTCTCTCACATATCAGTCCAGAAGTAAGCAGGAGATTCTGCTTCGTAAGGACATTCAGGAACTCAGGTTTCCTATGTAGGGCTCTTTAAAACCCTTGAGTTTCCGCTTGACCACATCTTCAGAACTGGCTCACCAGCACTGTGTCTTTACTTAAGACCAAGGGAAAGAGAGAGGGGAGCAGACACTTACTTGTGTTAAGAGCAAGACTGTTACATGTATCACTTCTCTTCATACTTCATCGTCAAGAACCCAGTCTTACATACCTACAAAGGAGAATGTGAGAATAGAGTCTCTGGCTGGGGTACTGACCAAAAATTCAAGGAGTTATATTATTAAAAGGAAAATGGATAAAGAATCCTGGAAAACAGAAGTTTCTGTCCTCGGCCTCTAGCTCCCACATATTCACGTGCACCAATCTTCCCATGCAGAAAACAGAGCGTCCCCAAGGAATGCAACATCAAGTGCATCTAGCTATTGTTCCCAGTTCAAAATCTAGGGTTGCCTAGTGATGTTTATTTCTCTCCAGCTGATCTAAAGGTGGATCTTCAAGGACCAGCAGTTCATTACCTAATACACGAGTTACACTACCATACATCTTGATACAGGATAAAGAGCTGCAATAAAAACTACCATTCTGAAAATGACAAGTGGGAAACATAGTAATCACTGTGATATTCCTGTTTGGCAGGAACTGAGAAGTCTTCGTTCCCAGGCAAGAAAGTAAACTCTTTGGTTAGGCTCTGATTCTGATCTCTGGAATCTCTAGAAAGAACTTGTTTGTCTACTGCTCTCATGGCCACTGGTCTTACCCTCTGGGAGAGTCATTCTTTTCCATTATCTGGGAAAGATATCAGTGGTATCATCCTGTATCAGTCTGGGTCCAATCAGGAGAGAGAAACCATGTGGTAATTTGAGCAAGGAAAGTTTAATATGAAGAATTACTAACTAAACAGGGGTTTGGAAGAACGAGGGATTGGCTAGTAAAAAGTAAAGAGCACTCTAAAGAACATAGGAATAGCAAATGTAAGGAAAAACCACTACCCTATGACTAAGATAGGGCCCCAAGGAAGAAACCCCCAAAGCACTGAGATCTCAAACTTGTTAAAGAGGGTCAGCGTGGCTCACTGAACGCCAGAGAAGTCACTGTAGGGTTAAGTCAGGGGAACTTATCGGTAATCCACTCTCTGGAGAGCCAGGGATGGCTATTCAGGGGGTAGTGTCCGGCCATGGGTATTCCACTGTGCCACTGCCTGAGGAGGCTGCTGCCTCAGTCGCTGCTGTTACACACTGAGGGAGGTGGGCAACGGAGAAGAGCCACCGGGTGAGCGCACCAGAACCAGGAAAGAAAACCCCTTCCTCCTACAATCTGTCTCCAGACCCTTCTATTGACAAAGCTTAACACAGTGCCGGTTGGCAGGCTCCATCAAAGGGAAGCTCCATTTCTGCAGAACAGGCAATGAAGGGTGAATTTGGAGCTGAAAGGCGTAAGTTGATAACTGGCACACATCTGAAGTGAGTTGTTGAGTGTATTCCCTTCTTGATGACTGCACAACTTCTGCAGTCCGATTTTTACTGGTACAGGTTCCAGTTGGGGATTTCTGGAGACAGGTACCGAGTTTGTGATTTTTCTGGCAAACTGTTTCCCCCAAAACGTAGTAGGCTCCTAGTCTACTTGGTTCCAGTTATGTCCATATAAATGCAGTCCCAGTCAAAGATCGTATCTGGTTATAATTCTTAAGCTTTCATAGTCTAGTTTGTTTTCCAGTTGTGTTCAGTCTATCCAACTTTCTCTTAATTTAGTAGTGATTACCTAGAGCCATCTAAAAAAATACTTAGGTGGGAATGGAATGCTTTTAATCCATTATTGTAGGGCTGGCTTCCACTTTCTGGCTAACATATATGGAGGCTCTTGAGAAATGATCTGAAGGATAATATTGTCTCCTGTGATTTGGAGTACTAAAGACATTAACTTTGCCAAACCTGGGAGTACCCAAAAACTGTCAAGTTCGTCAACTCAGGTTTTATACTACAGAATGAGAACGACTCACTTGGAACTATATTCCCTTTCACTTCTGCTTACAAAGTGTCTAATTCTTACCTGACAATCATTTTCCAGCATGCCATATCTGCTTCTTTACTATCCACTTCCCAATCAATAAGCCATAAGCACATTTTAAAAGTATTTATTAAAGCAGCACCCTATTTCTAGGTAATAACGTCTGCATTAATTGGAGTACAGCTTAAACTATCATAACAATCATGGTTCAAACAACAGATAAATCTGTATTTCTCTCTAGAAGTAGGCAGCTGTTCAGGATAGGTGTACTGGTTATCTCTCATGTACAAAGAGACTAACCAACCACTTGGGAGACAAACTGATCACCTTGAGTCAACCTTAAATTCTGAAGGGAGCAACAATTTGTCCTTACTGGAACAGACACTTCTTCCAGATACCAGTTTGCCGTCTCTGCCCACAGTTCCACCATCACCTGAAGACTTACAGAATACCTGATTCAATATGATAGTATATCACTCAGACCAAGAAACCTGCTTTACAACAAAGAAATTGGGGCCACTGACACATTGTCTGCTGCTGGTCTTAAATATTTCTCCTCACCCAGAAACCTAATAATAATAATAATAATAGTAATAAAAGGAATAGATAAGCACCAGATCAGGGATGATCACTGCTAAGGTGGAGTGCTCCAAGCATGAAGTATGTGCACTAAATCAATGGCCAGTGTATTAGGGTTCTCCAGAGAAACATAACCAATCAGATATATATATATATATACACACGCACACACATACACATATATATATTATTTATTATTTTTATTTTTTTAGTATCAATGTAACATTTATTCCCTAAAATTCCTTTATTGTTTCTTTCTTTTGAGATATAATTGACTTTGTATAAGTTTAAGATGTACATTTGATTTGATATCCTTATGTATTGCTAAATGATTACCACCTTAGAATTAGCTAATACTTTCATCACACCACATAATTACCATTTCATTTTTTGTGCTGAGAACATTTAAGATCTACTCTCTCAGCAACTTTCAAGTGTATAATATAGCATATTAACTATAATCATCACACTGTACATTAGAGTCTCAGAAATTATTTATCTTATAACTAGAAGTTTTTACCCTTTGACCAATATCTCCCTGTTTCCCCCAACTCTCAGTCCCTGGTAACCACCATGCTACTCTTTCTGTAAGTTTGCCTTTTTTAGAATCCACATACAAGTGATATCACACAGTATTTGTCTTTCTCTGATTTATTTCACATAATGCCCTTAAGGCCCATACATGTTGTAGAAAATGTGAGGATTTCCTTTTTCTCTCATGGCTGAATAATATTCCATTTCGTATATGTATGACATCTTCTACATCCATTCATCTATTGATGGACACTTAGATTTTTTTCATATCTTTGCTATTGTGAATAATGCTGCAATGAGCATAGAAAAAGGAGATTTATGATAGGAATTGGCTTGTATGGTTATGGGGACAAACAAGTCCCACAATCTGCCATCTGTAAGCTGGAGAACAAGGTAACCTGTTAAGAGTAATTCAGTCCTAAGTCCTGAGAACCAGGAGCTCCGATGTCCGAGGGTGGAAAAAGATGGACATCCCACCTCAAGAAGAGAGAGAGAGCGCTCACTCTTTCTTTGCCTTTTTGTTTCATTTGGACTTACAATAGATTGGATGATGCCTGCTCACATTGGTGAGGGAGGATCTTCTTTACTCAGTCTACTGAATCAAATGTCAATCTCTTCCAAAAACACCCTCAGAGACAAACCCAGAAATAATGTATTACCAGATATCTGGCCATCCCTTATCCAAGCCTAGCTGACACATAATATTAACCATCATAGCCAATACATGGTTATGTGCCCACAGAGCTAGAAGACATACTGCTCAGAACCAAGGGGCGAAATGAGAATTGGCTTCAAGCCATTACTCCCTGTGACTTATTTGCAGAATTTGTGCTTCTTGACTTTGAGACTTTGAGTCTGCCGTATTTGAAGTCCATGTTTGGAAGGAGAGTGGGTGGGAAGTGTTTCTACTTGGAGGACCTAAAAAATACACTGAACTTGATGCTACAAAAACTATCTGGTAACTTTGGGCTCCTTAGTGCAGGGAACAAGTTGGGGGGGAAAATTATTTATTTACTTACTTATAAACCTCATGGTAATCACAAATCAGTCTAAAATAGATCTACACACAAAAAAGAGAAAGGAATCCAAACCTAACACTAATATACTCATCAAATCACAAGGGAAGAAATCAAAAGAAGAAGAAAGAACAGATAAGAACTACAAAAACAACCCCAAAACATGAACAAAATGGCAATAAATACACGCCTATCCATAATTACCTTCAATGTAAATGGACTAAATGCTCCAAACAAAAGACATAGAGTAGCTGAATGGATATAAAAACAAGGCCCAAATGAAATTAGAACACTCCCTAACACCATACACAAAAATAAACTCAAAATGGATTAGAGACCTAAATGTAAGACCAGACACTATAAAACTCTGTGAGGAAAACATAGGAAGAACACTCTTGGACATAAATCACAGCAAGATCTTTTTTGATCCACCTCCTAGAATAATGGAAATAAAAACAAAAATAAACAAATGGTA